GGGAGGAAGTGGGAAGGGAGCTGTTGCATTGTGGTACACTGTGGTCAATGTCATGAGACAAAGTATATGTAAACTGCTGTATGGAAAGTGAATTTGCTCTGTAAATCTTCACCCAAATCACAATAATAAAAAAAAGAAAGAAAAAAAATTGAGATGAAGTCCTACTGTGTCAGGGTGGGTTCTAAATCCAATATGACTGGTGTCCTTATAAGAAGAAATTTAGACATGGAGACACAGGCATACAGGGGAAAAGACAACATAAACACAGCAGCAGAGATTAGAGTGATGCATTTACAAGCCAACAAGCACCAAGGATTGCCAATATCCACCAGAAGATAGAAGAGATATGGAAGATTCATCACTAAAGACTTCAGAGGATAGTGGTCCTACCTGCATCTTGATTTCAGATCTCTAGTCTCCAGAACTGTAAGAGAATAAGTTTGTTATTTTAAGTCATCCAGTTTAAAGTAATTTCCTTCAACAGCTCTAGGAAACCAATAAGCAATTAAAACAGACGCTTACTATCCCCGTTTCTGTGGGTCAGAAGTCCAGGCCTGGCTTACCTGTGTTCTCTTCCTTAGGGTCTCAAAAAAAAAAAAACCTCACTGCTATTGAGTTGGATCCAACTCATAGTGGCCCCTCTTTGGGTTTCTGAGGTGGTATCACTATGGAAGTAGATTACCCAACCTTCCTTTGGAAGAGTGGCTAATGGATTTGAACCGCCAGCCTTCTGGTTAGCAGTCAAATGCCTAAGGCACCATGCCATCAGAGCTCCTTAGGGTCTCACCAGGCTATAATCCAAATGCTGGCTGGGTTTGCAGCTCCATTAGAAGTTTCACTTGGGAAAGATCTGTTTCCAAGGTCATTCAAGTTGTTGGCATAATTCAGTTCCTTACACCTATAGGACTGAGGTCTTTGGTCCTAATGGCCCCATCAAAGCAGCTAGCTTGAGTGGCTACTGTGTGCTGGAAGTGCTTACTATGTGCTGGGTTCAAAGCAATGAACTAGATAGGTAAGGTCCCGGTCCTCAGGGATCTCACAGTAGTGGGATAGAAAGATCAGGGAAACAGGTCATAAAATTTTCTAGGACAGATTAATGGTTTGGTTAAAAAAAAAAACAAAAAAAACACACACAACACAATATGTATGTATATACATATACACAATATATGTGTGTATATATATATACATATACAGAATATATACATATATATGTACAATATAAGCTCCTATAAGGAGCTCTGGTAGCATAGTGCCTAAGGCACTTGACTGCTAACCAGAAGGCTGGCGGTTGAAGCCCACCAGCCACTCGTTGGAAGGAAGATGGGGCAATCTACTTCCGTAGTGATGCTGCCTCGGAAACCCAAGGAGGGCTCACTATGAGTCGGTGCGACTCGACGGAACATAACAGCAACAGCAACCAAAGACCCTGAGATCTGCCTGGGTCACGTTGAGCGAGAAGATGGGAGGGCGGCATGAGGTCAGAGAGGTTGGTAGGATCAAAACAGAAGAGCCTACTAGACTAGGTAGGGAATTTAGGAGTTTTAAGTCTAAAATTTTTTACGTGTGGAGAAATGGGGAAGGGCGTGGAATGGCTTACGTATGCCTGTTTAGATTCAAAGAAGGTCGCTTAAAGTAAAGCACACGCCTCACGACCAGAGCCAGTTCGTCATCTAAGCGCCAGTCCAGCCTTAAACCTCATATCAGTTTAGTTAGGTGAAGGAACAGACCACGGTGGGAAAAGCGCGCACGCTACCTCAAGTAAGTTTGGGTCTCTGCGTCCGCCGTAGACGTCGTGACAGAGCCAGCCTGTTGCCTTGGAGCCGGTGAGACGCTGCTCGGCCTCTCCAGCGGTGGAGGGCGCCGACCGCGGGCCTCAGACACCATGTCTGTGCTAGACGCACTTTGGGAGGACCGGGACGTCCGCTTCGACGTGTCCTTACAGTGAGTCGCCAGGATTCCCCGGGGGCCTGTAGCCTGCATAGGGCACCGCGAATTCGGAACCCGCGGGCAGGGCCTGCAAACCTGCCGCTCGTGGCCCTCGCGAGGGTGGGAGAGGGTTTGTTTAGGATATTTGCACCTCGGGAGTCCCCGGATTGGCCAGCCACCTGCGGCCCTCCAGAGGCCGGCGACACAGCAGGAACGCGTAGATGATCCATTTTCGGTCCTGTGCAATTCCAGTCTTGGGAAATTGAACCCAAACACGGCCTGGGGCTATCCAAGGCTTGAGGCGCCAGTTTCGCGTGGTGGAAGAACATACAGCAGAGACACAGGAAACTAGGGTTCTAAAACTAGGGATTAATGATATATTGCCCTTGGACAATAACAAGCTTGAATCTTATCTGTAAAATGAAGGAGTTGGGAGTAAGCGTTCTCCAAAATGTCTCAACACTGAACCCTAAATGGTCGAACTGTACCAGTTTCCAAGGCTAAAATCTTTAGGGAAGTAGACTGTCACATCTTTTTCCCACAGAGCGGCTGATAGGTTCGAACCGCTCACTTTTTGTTTAGCAGCCCAGCCTTGTGCTGATAGCTAGGGATGCAAAAATTGTAGGAAATGATACACCATGCCTAATTTAGTGCAGGCGATCTACATGGAAAGCTAATTATAGTAAGTGTGGTAAATATGGAATTATGAGCAAAAACTGGGGACCATAGAAGACAGAGCAGTTAATTCGGCCTGGGGGAGGCCTCAGGGAAGAAATAATACTTGATTTTGGGAGGGCCTTGTCAGGGTAGACAAGAGAAGAGTCATGGAGAGGGGGGTTAAAAAAATCCTCTTTAGAAGCAGAGGCTTGAAGGTATAAACCTCATTGGCTAGAAAACAGGATGTGAGGCAGGGAGGTACAAATGGAAAGCTAGATTGGCTAGATTTTGGACATTACCAAGGCAGTAATGACTTGTAAGGCTTTTAAGTGGAGAAGTGATATGATCATATCTGTATTGTTAGTGAATAATTGACTTGGCCATGAAGAGAGTGTGTTAGAAGGCTCTACCAAATATTCTGCTAGTTGTTTTTGACCTTATAGAATGCATTTATCAGTCAACAAGCTATTCTTCATTTTTTATTTCCTTTTCCCTCTCATATATAGTTGTTAACCAAGTTCTGATGAAGCTTTGAACATATATCTTGTTTAACCTGTTCCTTCTTTAACCTAAGGAGCTCGGTGGTACTATGGTTAAGGCATTGGGCTGCTAACCAGAAGGTAGGTGGTTCAAAACGCATCAGCTGCTCCATGGGAGAAAGATGAGGCAATCTACTTAAGTAAAGATTTACAGCCTTCCAAACCCAATGGAGATCTCTATGATTTAGAATCAACTCGATGGCAGTGGGTGTAGTTTTTTGGTTTTTCTTTAAGTGCTTGATCTTCTTTCTTCTACTCAGAAACCTTTGGGGGTTCTCCATTGTTCACAGAATAAGGCTCATACCTATCAAACTGGCATTTGAGGTTCTACACAATCTGGCCCCTCCTTATTTATCCAGTCATATTTCTCACTGCCTCTCAGTATGGACCTTCTTCCCCAGCCAGACCAGTCTTTCTACAGGCTTTTATAATTTCTTACTTCTGATCTTTCCTCGGGGGCTTTCCTCTCTCTTCTTTTTATTTTTCTAAATCCAACCCCTTCAAGTTCTAGCTTACTCCAAGTAGTCCTAGTCACCCTAGGCCTCACTAGTCTCCAGCTTCTTAAGGTTCTTGAAGATCTTAATTGCAAATATTCACTCATTCTGTGTGGTACTGTTTACACTGTTGGCTATTCTATATGCAAATATTTCTTCTCTCCTTAACTAGATTGTAAGCTGGTATAATTGTAGCTATAAAATTAAAACCTTTATATTTATTTTAGACAAATGAAAACAAGACCTGGAGAAGTCCTTATTGATTGTTTAGATTCAGTTGAAGATACTAAAGGAAATAATGGGGATAGAGGTAAGTACATTTTCTAATGTATTTTATATTTCTGACTAATTTTACAAATGTTAAATCACATTATTTAAGAGTAAGTTATGAAGTAGCATCATATGAAAATATAATTGTGAGGCTTAAATTCGCATTAAGACTTTCTCAGGCCTAGACAGAAGAAAGAGTAGATACTATACCTGTAGCCAGGAAACAGGTTCTTCCACAGAACTTTGGTCTTTAAATAAGTGTTGGTTCTGACATCAGCTGTATCCACTGTAACTGTTAAAACTCCAAGAGTCCTGTTTGCAAGGTGCACAAAGAATTTGATGGCCCTAATCTTGACGAAACTTGAACTAACTTGAGGAAGCTAAGGGTGAGGCTGGTGGGTCTCATAATTGGAAAGAACTCTTTTATTTATTTATTTTAATTTTTTTAATTGTGCTTTAGGTACAAGTTTACAGAGAAGAATTTGTTTTACATTAAACATTTCATGTGCATTCGGTTTCGTTCCCCAATTACCATCCCCAACCCTAACCCACTCTCCTCCCCTCTCTGTCCCGTTATGCCCACCCCCGGTGCCCCTCATAGTTATGCATTCCTGTGTATCCTGCATTTCCTCTGTGTGAATGTTGCCCCTCTGATGCCCTATGGTCGATTGTTCCAAGGGGTGCATCTCCATAGAGTATACAAGTGCGTCACCTTGGGTTGCGTGGTCTGTGTGTCCATCTTATTTACTATTGGGCTAAGAGCCAACCCCTGGGGGTGAGTTTTATTCCAGGCCCAAAGTATATCCCAGGGCCATAGTATTGGGGGGTCCTACAAGACTCCATCCAAACAGTAATTCCGGTCATTATTGTGTTTTTGGATTTTGTTCCACGTTTGTCCTCCCAGTCTACGTAGGATCTCCAGTTTTGATCCTTTCCCAAGTGGTTGGCATTGGTAGTTGGGCACCATCTAGTTCTTCCAGAAGGCTAGTGGTTCAAACCCCCCAGCCACTCCTCAGAAGGAAGATTAAGCAATCTACATCCTTAGTGATACTGTCTCAGAAACCCAAGGAGAGTCACCATGAGTCAGATTCAACTTGATGGCAGTGAGTTTGGTTTTGGTTTAACAGATAAAAGAATCAATAGCTGTCCTTGTCTTTTTAGCTCATAGCACAGTTATAGAGATTAATGTTGGCCATTAATTAATGACCTAAGATATAAACTGATATACCCTACAATAACAAAATAAGTCATAAAAACAGTTCTTAAAGAATTAAAACTTTAAAGAGTTATAATAGCCATTATAGTGAAACTTCTAATGGAGCTGCAAACCCAGCCAGCATTTGGATTATAGCCTGGTGAGACCCTAAGGAGCTCTGATAGCATAGTGCCTAAGGCACTTGACTGCTCACCAGAAGGCTGGCGGTTCAAACCCACCAGCCACTCCTCGGAAGGAAGGTTGGGCAATCCTACATCCGTAGTGATACTGCCTCGGAAACCCAAGGAGGGGTTGCTGTGAGTCGGGGCTGACTCGATGGCACATAACAACTACAACAACAATAGCGATTAGCATTTTGAATACAGATAATCCTTGACTTCTGATGGGATTCCATTCTATTGACTCTGTGGTAAGTTGGTTCTGATGTTAACTCACATACCTTTTTCTTTCTTTTTTTTTTTTGGTTGGTTTCATTATTATTCCCTTTTATTATCAGTATCTTTATAAATTCAATCTTTATTTGTCTTTGGGGGGTTGGCATGAGAATGATAAGATCAGAAAATTACATGCTGCAACATTGTATATGGTATATATCACTAATGGTAAGATGTACCCAAAAAAAGGGTCATAAATTTAGTTTGTCGTAACTCAAATACACCGTAAGCCAGGGACTGCTTGTATTTACTATTTGCCAGTCACTGTTCTAAGTCTTGTAGGAGCTCTGGTAGCATAGTGCCTAAGGCATTTGACTGCTAACCAGAAGGGTGACGGTTCAAACCCACCAGCTACTCCTCTGAAGGAAGGTTGGGCAATCTACTTTCGTAGTGATACCGCCTCGGAAACCCAAGGAGGGGTTGCTATGAGTCAGATCCAACTCCATGGCAGTACATTTGGTTTGGTTTTGGTTTGGTTCTAAGTCTTTTATATGTATAATCTTATTGAATAATATTAACCATAAAAACAAAGATTATGAAGTAGATGCTGTTAGTATCTTTGTTTTTCAAATGAGAAAACATGAACAGTGAGGTTACTTCACTTTTCTAAGACTTATAGCTAGTAGGTATTGAACCAAACTGCCTACATTGTTTCTTAAATGCTAAGATTACATTATTCCCTTCTCAGAAATTTTCAGTCTTTTCTGATCCCAATCCTAAACCCATGCCCACTCCACTGCCTCTATTACTAATAGATTACTAATAGTCCAAATTTCTTGGGCCAGAATTGAAGAACTTGTAGTTTGGCCACAAACAACCTTTCTTGCCTGTGTTGCTATCTTCCAGTTGTCCCTCCAGATCCAGCACCCTTCTCCATCCTTTTTCCCCTTGCCTAAGAAGATGATTTGTATAGATTACGTATAAGAGCTCTTGTGCCCTCTTGCTTACTGTTGGGTGAGCCATGCAGAAGATTAGTGGTTGACAAGACAGTGAAGGCACGGTATTTATTCTGATTCTCTCCAGAGAGATGCTTTCCTTTCAGATGGTCCATTTGGTAAGAATCTTGCTTTTTCCATATTTTAATAACTACTCCCTCCACTTGTCATGTTGGTCCTGGGATGGTGGCATTTCTGCTGCACTGACACTTACTGTACCTAACACCACCACCCATATCTTTGTAATAAGTCCTAATTTGAGTGTGTCATCTGTTTTGTTGGACCCTGACTGATAGACATAATGCTCCTTCTTCTGATTTTGTGTGAATCCTATCCTATAGCCACACTGAGTTACTTATTGTTCTTCAAGCAAATCCTGTGATTTTCCATAGTCTTTCTTGAGAATGCCTTCCTTTATTTTTAGACCTCCTTTACTATTCCAAAGCAACTTTGGTAGTATGATGGTTAAGGCATTTGGCTGCTAACCAAAAGGTCAGTGGCTCAAACCCACCAGCTGCTCTGTGGAAAAAAGATTAGGCAGTCTGCTTCCACAAAGATTTACAACCTTGGACATCCAATGGGGGTTACTATGAGTTGGAATCTACTTGATGGCAGTGAGTTTGGATTTGTTTTGTTTTACTATCCCATGTCCCTCCAGCATTCACGCAGGCCCCGTTTCTCTGATTTTAGACATTCTGAGGCTTTTCGAGGAAGAAAGAATATGGCCTGGCTGAAAAGGATTATGTAATTATAATTAGTTGGAGAAATGTGTGTTGAACAAAGTTAAACAAGTTTTTTTATTTCAGAATATTACAAAGCTTTTTTTTTTTTTTTCCTTCATAAACATTTTACTGGGGTTTGGGTCAAAGCTTTTGATATGCTGATTGTATTGTAAATCTCTGAAACACATAGTTTAACATACTTATTCTTATTTGGCTTTTTTTTCCCCTTGGAGCATCTATAGGAACTGGTATTCCACAGGATACATTTTGAGAAATGAAGTTTATTTAACTTTGTATTTTAATGTAAGAACATGGAATATTAGATCAACAACAGTTTGAATGAAAAGCTCAAAGCCTTAAATAGACTTTAAGCAAAAAAGAAAAGTTTGCTTATAGCAAAATTGGGTGTATAAATATATGGCTTACTATTAAGAAAACACTCCTATGGCAGGGATGAGTATGTATGTGAGAGTTCTTTGAAGTGTGATTAAAATGAATGGCATTCTAATTGTACTATCCTATACTCGTTCTCAGTTGTACATATATGACCTTCTGGAACCCAGAGTAGCTTCTACTGAGATGAAAGATTAGTACATAATTTTCCCTTTGGTCAGTTTGAGTCAAACCAAGCTATTGGCAGTGAAAACTTGTATCGCTGTAGTAACCCTCAGATGTTGTTTCTCTGAAATCGTGAATCATACATTGTATACCTTATTTATGTACACAATAAATATTTTGAATTAATGAATGTATGAAAAACATCTATAGGTTTTGCTGCTGATACTGGGCATATTCACTTCATATTTACTTCATAGTATACTGCAAAAAATGGGTCTTACTGAAGCTAACCTTGTTTTTGTTTTTTTGTGGTTTGTTTGCTTGCTTGTTTGTTTTTAGGTAGACTCTTGGTAACAAATTTAAGAATTATCTGGCATTCTTTGGCATTACCCAGAGTTAATCTTTGTAAGTATCTTTGATAACTCTAAAGAAAACAAAAATCCTGTGTCAAGTGAATTATTATACTTGCATGATGACTTTTGATACTGAAAAAACTATACTATGGCATATGTCTTAAACTGATAAAAGCTTCAAAAATCCTAATCATAGATTGAATTATAATTAAAAGAAATATTCCATATTGCTTTTTAGTCATTCATTTTGTATCTATATGGGACTAGGGCTTTTACATTGACCAATTTTTGTTTTTGTTGTGAGTTTTTTGCTTATTTTTGACAATTTACTGTAACTTGTTTCTGGTACAGGTAGTCTCCAACTAACAACAGGGTTCGACTCTGACGACTCTGTCCTAATTTTGTTCTGACATAAGTCAAATGCCTCACATCAAATTAATAACTGATGCTTCTTATGGTACAAAGCAGTGCATAAGACCACATTATAGGCCTGGTCTCCAATGAAATCAGTGTTATAACAATAAAGTTGGAGTCATAATGACTGTTGGACACCTGCGCAGTTCAATTGTAGCATGTTGTTAGAGTTGAGCATTGCCCAATTTTCCATCTGTTACTACTCCCCAGCACCAACACTGACTTCATTGTAGGCTAGACCATAACCTGCTATACAACTGTATGTTGAACAGCTAATCATAAAATCGAATATCTGCAAGTGAACATCTAAGAATGATAAACCAAAGCCAAACCCATTGCCATCGAGTTGATTCTGACTTATAGCATCTTACAGAGTAGAACTGCCCTATAGGGTTTCCAAGGTTGTAAATTTTTATGCAAACAGAGTGCCTCATATTTCTCCTGTGGAGATGCTGCTGGTTTCAAACCACTGGCCTTTTGGTTAGCAGCCAACTGCCTTAATCACTGCACCACCAGAGCTCCTTCTGAGGATGATAACATCAGCTAATTAGACTCTTCAACATTTTATGTACATACTACTAATGATAAGATGTGCCAAAAAAAAAAAAAAGACAGTTCTAAGTTTGGTTCGTCATAACTTGAATACATTGTAAGTCGGGGATTTGTAATCCCAAAGAAGGGAGATATAAATTCTCACGTTTATAGTGTTAAATGATGTTTCACTTATTTTTTTGAAGTATTTGTGATTACCTAGCTAGACTTTTTCTTTTGATATTAAAAATAACAAACTCATTGCTGTCAAGTCGGATCTGTCTCATAGCGACCTCTCCTTGGGTTTCTGAGGCGGTGTCACTGCAGAAGTAGATTGCCCAGTTGTCCTATGAGGAGGGGCTGGTGGGTTTGAACCACCAACCTTCTGATTAGCAGTCAAATGCCTTAGGCACTATGCCACCAGAAAACCAAAAACCAAAAGTGGTACTAAAATTTTCAGTAAATAATGCTGTGTAGGTTTTAGACAGGAGCTCTGATAGCATAGTGCCTAAGGCACTTGACTGCTAACTAGAAGGCTGGCGGTTCAAACCCACCAGCCACTCCTCGGAAGGAAGGTTGGGCAATCCTACTTCTGTAGTGATACTGCCTTGGAAACCCAAGGAGGGGTCGCTATGAGTCAGGGCTGACTCAACGGCAAATAACAACAACAACAGGTTTTAGACAAGCAAATTTCTTATTTCCCATATTATGAATGTTTTTGTTTGTTCAAGAAGGCAGAATTGACTCTCTATTATTTTTATTTTGTTTGTTCAAAGAGGCAGAATTGACTCTAGTTCTTTAAATTATTTCACTTAAATTTACAATTATTTCACAAACTTTTAAAAAGTTGTCTTTGTATATGTTTGGTTTTTAAAACTTAAAATTTCTCTATGATTTTTACAAAACTACTTTTCTCAGTTTACTATATCATGTTCTTTAAATTGTTTGCTTTTGAATTTTAGCTGTTGGTTACAACTGCATATTGAATATTACAACAAGGACTGCTAACTCTGTAAGTCTGAAAAATCTTATTGAAATAATACATGAATAGTGAAGAAACAGTAGATGTTTGAAGTTAACGTTTATGTTTTCACAGCCAGAAATTAATCTTAAAATCTGAATTTGTAAAAAAATTTGTTCCTACAGAAGTTACGAGGCCAAACTGAAGCTCTTTATATACTAACAAAATGTAACAGTACACGTTTTGAATTTATATTTACGAATGTGGTTCCTGGAAGTCCTAGACTTTTTACTTCTGTGATTGCAGTACACAGGTATAGTAATACTTTATGGATCACTGAATATTTTTAATGCAATCCTATGATATAAATAAAGGTTTAGAAGATAGTCCTGAAGACTTCTTTACAAAAACACATTTCATTATCATTTGATAAACACTTTGAAAGTATTTATAAAACATATAAGACTCCTAAAGATGCATAAAAATTTCTACTGAAGATTCTGTTAAATTAGTTCTTAGGGTAGTTAAAGTGAGAGGGAGAATTTATTCAATGTAGATGACCAAGTTGGATAACACAGTAATTTAAAATATTTTTTCTACAATAGAAAGGAGGATTTTCCTAAAAAAAATCTTCTTGTTTTGTTGGCTAAATTCTTTTCTTTTCACTAATTTAACTTGCTCTCTTGCTCTCTCTCTCTCTTTTTAAGTCAGTCCTAAGTGCTATGACTTTTTTTTTTTTTTTTTGAAAAAAAGCTTGGCTAAAATGACAAGCAAGAAAAATAAGAGTATACAGTTTGGTGGTTTTTAGTATATTTGCAAGGTTGTGCAGCCATCACTGTCTAATTCCAGAATATTTTCAGTACTCCAAAAGAAACCCCATACTGGTTAGCAGTCACCACCCACTTCCCCCTCCTAATAGTCCCTACCAACCATAAATTACTTCCTGATGCTGGACATTTCATATAAATAGAATCATACGGTATGTGGCCTTTTGTGTTTGTCTTCTTTCATTTAGTCTAATATTTTCAAGGTTCATTCATGATGTAACATGTATCAGAAATTCATTTCTTTTCGTGACTGAGTAATATTCCATTGTATGGATATACCAAATTTTGTTCATCCATTTATCAATTGATGCTCATTTGGGTTTTTTCCTGCTTTTTGGCTATTATGAATAATGCTGTTATGAACATTGATGTACAAATTTTTGTGTGAACATGTTTTCAGTTCTCTTGGGCGGCATATTACCTGTACCTCAGCTCTTTATTTCACTTTAGTTGGTGACATGCTATGAAAGTTTTACATGGAACATGAAGGGAGCATGAAAGCTGCTTTCATTTAGTAGTATGAAAATATTTATGTATTCTCCCCACCCAAAATAATTTACAGTATAGTTTCCATTTTTACCACTGGCTAAGTATAGATGATAGGACTAAACCACATTGAGATGTGTAGGCAACCTGCTCAACTCCTTCTGTTTTCAGTTTTATTAGAAGATTGATTAAAGACCAGAGTTTACTAGAAGGTTATTTCAAGTAAAAACCATAATTTAACAATGAATGAACAATTGATGTAAATTTAAAATTATTAAAGCTAAGAAAACCCTTTTATTACTCTTATTAAATGCATTGCCTGTTTTGTATGGAATAAAATTGTGTTGTTGTTGTTGGATGCTGTTAAGTTAATTTTCAGCTCACAGCAGTTCCATGTCACAGATAAGAGTTGCCCCATAGGATTTCTAGTCTATAATTTTATGGTGATGTTGTAAGAAGAGACCATTCCCTGGAGAAGGATGTCATGCTTGGGAGGGTGGAGGGTCGACGAAAGAGGGGGAGGCCTTCAAGGAGATGGATTGATACGGTGGCTGCGATGATGGGCTCAGGTATAGCAGGGATTATGGGGCTGGCGCGGGATCGGGCAGTGTTTCGTTCTGCTGTGCATGGGGTCACTATGAGTCGGAAACAACTCGGTGGCACTTAACAACAACAATTTTATGGAAGCAGATTGCCAGGTATTTTTTCCTCAGAAGCTAGGTGAGCTTGAATCGCCAAACTTTTGATTGGCAACTGGGTGCTTAACTGTTGTGTTACCAAGATTCTTGGAGTAAAATTAGAATTAATTAATCAAAAGGTAATCAGAATTATTATTATTATTTTGTATGTAATATTTATCAAAAGAGAAACAGAAAGAAAACAAAGACACACTCTCTCCACACACATTTGTATACACCCCCACACACTCTCACAGACTTACAAATTTCCTTTGGAATTAGTAAAGATTCATTCTGATTTTCTATATAGAGATAGATGTTTCTGAGCCTGACATTTTCAGGTTGCAGTAATAAAAGTAATTAGACTATTTGTGTCAAAAGAATAATGTACCATTACCTAAAACAGATAAAGGAAAGAGAAGCATTTTGATAAAGGGAAACAAAATTTTCCATGTTTATTATGTGCAGTCATTGTTTTTTGTTTAGAGAGAAAGTCTATTTCCTATCATTTGTGCTTTATGATACATACTGCCTTAAAAATTAGAGATCTAAAAATAATAGATTACTGAGAAAAAAAATCTAGAAGTGTAGATTACTGTGATATACCAAAAATGACAAATAATGAAAATCTATAGAAAAGTCTAATCAGAATCAGAACCCATTGAAAAGAAATTTTTTTCAGTTTACCATAATAATTATTTGTGTGGTGTGTGTAAGTATTAACAACTGTATACTTTAATAATTAAGTAAACATAACCTGAGAAAACCACGTTTTCAGTTTGGGGTGACCTTTTGTTCATTCTTTTTTATAGAGCATATGAAACATCTAAAATGTATCGGGATTTTAAATTGAGAAGTGCAGTAATTCAAAACAAGCAACTAAGATTATTACCACAAGAACATGTATATGATAAAATCAATGGAGTATGGAATTTATCCAGTGATCAGGTATTGGTGTTGTGCAAAGAACTAATGAACCTTTTGGAACACTGCTTTGGGAATCATTTTTCTGTTCAGCATTGGTTTGTATATTCATTCAACTCTAATTATTAAATTAGCATGATAGCTTTTGACAGGGAGCTCTGGTGGCATAGGGCCTAAGGCATTTGACTGCTAACCAGAAGGCTGGTGGTGCAAACCTACAGCCACTCCACGGAAGGAAGACTGGGCAATCTACTTCCATAGAGATAATACCTTGGAAACCCAAGAAGGGGTCACTATGAGTCAGATTCAACTCAGTTTTATTTTGGTATAGCTTTTGGCATGAAATACTATTCTGACCTTCATATTTTTATGGCTTTGTACTCTTTACATATTTTTGTCTACATAGAATTTAGAGCTGGAGGTTACGTAGGTCAGCGTCCCTTCATTTATGGATAAAAAACTCAAGCCCAAAAGAGTTACGTGACCTGACACATCTAGTTTGTCCCAGAAACATGCTGTTCCACGTTACCCTCTACCTCTTGATTGTTTATGCTGATGGAGGAGAACCATAGTGTGGACAGTTACAGAAGACTTTAATCTGGTCTTTTGTTAAAAAAAATAAATAGTAATACTTTTTTTCTAATTGTAAAAATGTATTTAACACACCATTTGCCAATTCAGCATTTTTCAGTTTAGTTACAATTCAATAATGTTAGTCATTTTGTACCACTACCACTCAAAATAGTTGTTAATTGTGTCTTTAGGAAACTAATAAGATAATTGATTTTTATCTCTTAAATCCATTATTATAATTTTTCACTTTTTGTGTGTGAGAGGAAATATTGTACATACTTATTTATATATGTTAGCAACTAATGTTTGAAGTAAGTAACACATTGATTGCTAGAGAAAAATATATTTTACTAAGAACAGTTTCCAGCCTTTGTATGTGTTACAACTTAGTTTAAGAATCTCTGGGGTAACAGACAACAAATATGAACCCCTTTGCATATACAGTACTGAGTTGTCAGTGAAAGCAAACATGGGTATAGGGACGGATAGATGGGTGAACAAGCTAAACAATTAGGTATGTCTAAATGGAGAGTGTATCCAAGATCATATATAGGGTTGGCAGACAATGGGCCTATAAGTTCATGTGAATGATCAGAATTCCCAGGTGTATAGTAGAGCTGACAAGGGGCAAGGTTATGGTCATTACTTGGTCACAGCCAGCTACCCAGAGGGACCGAGTAGTTGATCCTGCGGGCTTGGGACCATAGTCGCAGGGGACATCAAGCTCAATTGGCATAACATACTATACAAAACATTGTTCCACCTACTACTTTGGCGAGTAGCAACTGGGACCTTAAAAGCTAGGAAGCTGCCATCTAGATGCAACAACAGGTCTCTCCTCGTCAAGAAGAAAGAAGAAAAGCAAAATTAATGGAAACAATCAGTCCTAGCGACTGGTACACCATCCGATCTGCAACCTGTACAACTATGAGACCAGAAGAACTAGATGGTGCCCAGCTACCACTGCCATTCACTTGGAAGGGATGTAGGAGATCCTACATAAAGAGGGAGAACAATGTGGTACAAAACTCAAAATCGTTTGGAGGCAAAAAAAAAAGAAGGTGGGGACCAGGTTTGCTGGTCCAATAGAGCCTGGTGTAACCACTGAGACTATGGCCCCTAGTTGCCCTTCAGGTCTGGAATTGAACCCACAACTGTGGTTTCCAGCCAAACAAAGTATAGGCATGTGAGTTAAACATTTACCTCAAGTAGACACACGCCCTGGAGAGAACAATCATGTGAGAAGGAAGGGCTGCTTATGCACAGGGAGATAGCTCAGGGTGCAGAAGAGTATGAAGGGATGGACACTGGGAGGAGGTAACTGTGGGGAGGAAGTGGGAGGGGAGCTGCTGCATTGTAAATTTTGGTCAATGACATGAGACAAAGTATATGTGAACTGCTGTATGAAAAGTGAATTTACTCTGTAAATCTTCACCCAAATCCTAAAAAAAAAAAAAGTCAATGATTAGAGAGCTAAGGAAGGAGTGAAGAACTGAAATAGAAAGTACAGGTTACAATTACAGGATACCTATGCCTACAATGTGCCCAATGAGTATCTGTTGAAATAAACTTTAATGATGCAAAAAAAAAAAAAGAATCTCTGGGGTAAATCTATAGTGTTTGAATAAAGAACTTATTTCTAGTTAAACGTCATAAACATATGGTAAAACTGTAAAGGTCTGATAGCCTTTGCTCATTAAAAGATCTTTTAAACTGATAAGAGTTTTATAGGGTGTAGACAGCTCCCCACCTAAATAACTCCTTATCCTTTTGGTCAGGGGTCGGCAAACTTTTCCTGTAAAGGGCCAGATAGTAAATATTTTAGGTTTTGAAGAACACACAGTCTCTTGCAGCTACTCAGTGCTGCTGTTGTAGCATGAAACCAGCCATATACAATACCTGAAAGAGTGATCATGGTGGTGTTTCAATAATACTTTATGGACACTGAAATTTAAATTTCATACAGTATTCATTTTTTACAATTTTTTTTTTCTTTCACTTTCTTCCAGCCATTCAAAAATATGAAAATCATTCTTATCTTTTAGGCCATACCAAAATAGGCATCAGAACAGATATGGCCCATGAGCCATAGCTGCTAACCTGTTTTAGGTCTTAGCTTAGATGTCACTTTCCAAAAGCTTCCTTCTGTGTGTCATTTATGTAGCCTGTACCTAACAAATACCACTCTAAATTACTACTATTTTGAAATATATAGCTTACCTGTACCCTCACATTAGATTGTAGGCTTTATAAGAATGACGCTACTATGTTCAGGTGCCATTTTTTAATTAATCAATTAATTAAATTGATATCTGTGATTATTAGAGATATAATTTTATTGAAAATTGGGAATATTATTGTCAGCCTAACATATTTATTGAAAAAAAGTAAAGCATTAAATGTGCTCACCTATCATTTTAATAAGTCTTTAGGAGTTTTGCAAATTCTTCTCTTAAATAAGAGAAAACAACAAACATGAATTATTCCATATTGAGTTATGTTTACTATTGAGTAATGAGACTTAGGATGAGAATAATGGGGATAAATTTTTTTGTATAATAATTTCTTGCAAGATGAGAGTGGAGGGAGAAAATACACGTGTTTGTGTGTATATATGTGTGTATATGTATATGGATGGCTGGCAAACAGGACTTCTTTTCTCATGTTTCAAATAAGGTCATCCCAGTAAAGCACTTTTTAGGTTCTGGATTCAATTGTGAGTTAATGCATTATGCCCGACCTCAAAGTCTAAAATAAAGAAAATTCCTAAGTGTGTAGGGGTGGGGTAGAGAATGAAAGATAAATGGTAGAGACTGATAATTACAGTGCCATGTTAGTAGATCTCAAGGATTTTTTAGACCTTTAGCTATCATACTGGGATAATTTTGAGTAGATACAGAGGGATCATATGTAACTGGAGAACAGTTTTTATCTGTAGTAGTGATGAAGAGCCATAAAATACCTCTTGTGGACTGATGGTGTTGTGGCGTGTGTTTGTCTGTCTTTTACTAAAACTTCTTTGCCTTGACTTATCCCAGATATTGAATAATAATCATAGTAAAATCTAACACTTACAGAATGCTTATTATGTGTCAGGCATTGTGCTAACGACTTTATTTACATAGATTATTTAATGTAATCTCCATTTTACATCTGACAAAACGCACCAAGAAGAAATTGGCCCAAGGGCAGACAACTAGTCAAGTACTGATGATATAATGATTAGAAGTTTGACTACAGAGATTGTGCTCTTAGTCATCTAATTGTACTGTCATCCAATGAATGATTAAGTCACTGATATCCTGCAATACTCAATTCTGGTGGTATCTACTACTATGATGATCAGAATTATTCAGGTGTTTAGAAAATAAAGAGTTAAGTATCTGAGTGACCGTTGATGTAGCTCTCATTATTCTCTTTAACAGGGAAATTTGGGAACCTTTTTTATTACCAATGTGAGAATTGTGTGGCATGCAAATATGAATGACAGTTTTAATGTCAGTATACCATATCTGCAAATTGTAAGTACATTCATTTTGGTGACCTTATTTTAATGTAAACAGTTTACAGGACTTTTGAGATTAGATGAGTTCACTCTTTCTTTTGAAGAGGTAGCAGTTATTAGCTGAGAGCAGCATACTTCACTATGTCAACATAGGAAAGACCCAACCGCATTTATATTTAAGGGAAAAAACACCATTATCAGCTTCAGATTAAGAGAGAAATATGCTGGATTCTAAAAATTAAAATAATTAGACTCTGTTCAAAGGGCTTTAATTACTGAATTTTCTATAACCTTTCCATGAGGGAAGTATATGATAATTCCATGGTATGGCTTTGGCATACTGAGTCACATAGTTTATCTTAGCTTGCTTGCCACTTTTTGTATCAAAACCTTTTAAAGTCCAAATGAATTCATTTATTTTATGAATGAATGGATTCATAAGATTTCATTGTATTCAGATATAGTATGTAATGCAAGCTGGATTCATACTACCAAGTTTGCTGAAAAGGAATCAAGATGCTTTTTAGTGATAATACTTTTAGCATAAGTTCAATTAAAGCTAATAATATATGGAATAAGAACTGAAACCAATCTGTTTTGGAACTAGGTAAAGATAGTTTTTTTTCTTTAATCCGCTGATGCTACGTTAAGTATGTGATTCAGTGAAATAGTAAACTCCAAGAAACTGAAGAATTTCATTTCATGTAAAGAACTGCTTATGGGCCTGCAGTGCAGATTAGATGAAGCATGAAAATCCTGTGAGGTTATCCTATAATTGCCATTTTTGTAGAGTGTAAGTAGTTTTAACGCTAAGCAGTCTTACTGTTAAATATTTATTGAGTAGATTTAATGTATGCAATATCTAGAAAATGTCTCTTTTAAAAAAGAAAGTTCTTGGCCTATGAGAAGAATAATTCTTGCACACTATTCTCCATTCCATCTTTGGCTAAATTATTTGATTTTTTGTGTGTATGTGTGTGCTCACTACTGTTTATGTACTCATGGAGTTTTGTCAGTATTAAAGGGCTGATAACTTCATAAACATACCCAGTACAAAATAAATTACTTGATTTCTGAGTTGCTTTACAATATTTGATCATTCATTCATTTGCCAAATACTGAGCACCTACTCTATGCTAGGTGCTGGAGATAGAATCGTGAAAATCACCAACCAGTACACAGTTTCTGCTATCAAGAAGTTTCAGTCTGGAGGGGAAAAGCATTATATTAAACAGAAAATCATACAGGAAGAAAATTATCTCTTCATCTAAAAAATATCTCAAAATATATAAGATTTATAATCAGAGTCTACCTAGTTGTTTGATAAATTGGTATATATATTGTTCATTGCTTTTTTATACTGCATTTATTTATATGTGTTACACCTTGCCAAACATAACCTCTATTTTGCAGAATAATTAATGAATAGTAAACAACCCTGTGCTTTCTGTTCTTTAAATAGGTTGCTTTTTGTTATTTGAAAATTGTCGTTGTTGTTAGGTGCCATTGAGTCAGCTCTGAATCATAACGACTCTGTGCACAACAGAACAAAAAGCTCCTGGTCCTGGACTATCCTCACAATCATTGCCATGTTTGAGTCCATTGTTGCAACCACTTTGTCAACCCATCTCATTGAGGATATTCCTCATTTTCGCTGACCCTCTACTTTACTAAGCAGGATATCTTTCTCCAGGAACTGGTCCCTCCTGATAACATGTCCAAAGTATGTGAGACAAAGCCACAAAGTATGTGAGACAAAGCCACATATTCTGGCTAAATATGGCCTCTGGAATGAATTCAACCTGGCCCACATGACTTGCAATCTGATACCACATACTGTTAACTGCAGCAGTCATATTCTAACTTCAGCTCTAGGCCTTTGCCATTGCTCTGGCCCAACCCATATAGATACATATCAACTTCTGCTGGTTTCCACCTAATCAGCCTGTTAGTCACAATCACCTGGTTAGATTACCTATTGATGGCCAAGGTACTAATGTTCTATGGTTCTTAACTGGCTCTCTGTATATTCCTAGTGGGGTGTGAAGGAATCTAAGTGGAAGGCCAAGTTTTTATGAAAAATAACCATTGAAACCTTTGTCTGTCTCTCTCATAATGCAAAATGCTCAAATGCTCATAAACTCCACCTCCCCCCCACACACACAAGTAAAGGGAATATTGGTTCTTTAAGAACTTTGCCACCTATGATGTGAGACATGGAAGGCACAAGTGACTCTTCAAAACCAGCCCAGCCTTAGGATCCACAAAAGGTGCTAACTAAAAGATTGCTGGCCCTTTATTTAAAATATTCAGATAAATTGTTGACTCTGAGAGTGGGGGCATATTTGAATCAGAAAATATTGTACATATTTCAGTAATGTTTTGTTTATGTTGCCTTACAGTCAGCCACCTATTTTCAATATAAGTCTTAATTCATTTATTTTATCTCTGTAGGTGAATAATGCAGGAAGGAGGAAGAAGTCTGTTCTTTTAAATGTAAATTTTAAATAGTTACTGTGTAAAAGTTTACACACTTGTATTAAAAAGTCACTATTACCACATCAGGAGCTTCTTACTACCAGATAATAAAATCATGCATTTTTTTCTCTTTCATTCTACATCTAGCGTTCAATAAAGATTAGAGATTCAAAATTTGGTTTAGCTCTTGTCATAGAAAGCTCTCAGCAGGTAAGATACTTTACATTTTTATTAATCTTTGATTGATTTTTAAAATTACATGACAGTCTAGATTTTAGTTTCATTTACATAGTAATGAGTTTACAACCAAGAAAAGTATTAGCTGTAATATAAAGATATATGAAGGGTTTAAAGTCTTATAGTAATTGTCCTCATAGGAAGAATCCTGCTTAGTTTTTGGCTGGACAGATGTTACCATTATTATCATTATGATCATCATTGTTATTGACAGTATCAAGTCACTAAGTAGACCTGGTAGTAGTGCAGTGATTAAAGTGCTTTGCAACAGTTTGAACGCACCAGCTTCTCTGCAGGAGAGTGATAATGACAGACTGCTTCCATAAAGATTTACAGACTTGGCAACCAATGGGGTAATTCTACAATGTCCTATAGGGTTGTATGAGTCAGACTCTACTCAACAGCAGTGAGTTTGGGTGTTAAGGGCTAAGGACTTTGCATGCATTATCTTAATCTTTACACAACTCTATGATACATTTAGGGAGCTCTGGTAGCATAGTGGCTAAGGCACTTGACTGCTAACCAGAAGGCTGGTGCTTCAAACCCACCAGCCACTCCCCGGAAGGAAGATGGGGCAATCTACTTCCATAGTGATACTGCCTTGGAAACCCAAGAAGGGGTCGCTATGAGTCGGGTCCGACTCAATGGCACATAACAACAACAACAACAACATGATACATTTACTATACTTTCTCCATTTTACCGTTAGGAAAACTGAGGCTTAGAGAGGCTTGGAACCTTGCTCATGATCTCACAATGAGAGAGTTGTAGGGCTAGGTTTTGATTCCAGGTCTGACTCATTCCCAAGATGCCTCTGAGAAACACAGACAGATACAGACATACACACATACCTTGTTTAAGAGTTTATGCTCTCACACACAGATGTTTATATTTCCTAATTGTAAAGTGCTATGCCAAGGTTTTGTAAAAATACATCTAAGTAAAACATTTATTTATTTATGAAACAATTCTAAATTTAAACATGAATGTCTACTCACTCCTTTCCTCTGGCCTGTAGATTAGTAGCTGCCATCTATTGAGTACTTGTGTGTGCCAGTAACTATATCAAGTTTATACATAAGTTATTCAATTCAATTTAATAACCATTTTATGATTAGAGAATTGAAGCTTAAAAAAAGTTAAGGAAAGTACATTTCCCAACATCACATAGTAAATTGTAGAACCATAATTTGAACTCAAAAGCAGCTGCTCTTAACCCAAAGTATATGCTCTTGCCTATTGCAGTATGCTCCTTCATTTTTTTCTGGCATAGCAAAAAAAAACACTCTTTGTTCTCTGACAGTGTATTGTGGTTTCTTTCCCATTTCTTCAAGGATATTGCTTCAGGCTCTTGCCTTTTACTTTTACTGTGGAGTCTACTCCTGTTTTCAAGCTATAGCTCAAGAAAAACTTAGTTCATTTGGTTTTCACAATCCACACTGTAGTTTTCTTAAAAATCATAAAAGATCAGCTTTGAAAATTACAAATGAGGTGATATCTGGATGTGATTCAAAATAATCCTGCATGTGTGTCTGGGGAGGGGAAGTTACAGATGAGACAGAGTTGACCAGGTGTTCTTCAGCGTTGAGGCTGAATGCTGGTGAATAGTTGTACTCTTCTATTTTTGTTTCTGTTTTGCATTTTTCATAATAAAAAGTTTAATTTAAAAATAAACTTACATATTATGCTCTGAAATGAGGAAAGTTAGAGCTGTAGTTTATCATATACTATAAATACCATTCTTTAGGCTTGTTTGTTGTTTTTTCATTATTTTTTTTCTTGCAGAGTGGAGGATTTGTTCTTGGCTTTAAGATAGATCCTGTAGAAAAACTACAAGAATCAGTTAAGGAAATCAATTCACTTCACAAAGTCTATTCTGCCAGTCCTATATTTGGAGTGGATTATGAAATGGAAGAAAAGGTAATCTGTTCAATATGTGAAATGAAGAGTTTGCTGAATTGCTTTTACACAAATCTATCAAATTCAGATCTAAATACATTATGTACAATTTAATTTTAAACTGTTTTCATCAAAATGAATGCAAGCTCTGCTCAGTGAGCATAGTCCCTACATCACTGATTGTCCCTGCTTCCTGTCTCTTAACTGGTTGCTTCATCGCTCATTACTGCCCTTTATACCTGCCCATCTAGGTTAGCAGCCTATCCGTATAAGTCTTCTAATATTATTACTCAAGTTGGTTTTGATAGAAGAATATAAACTATGCAGTAATTTTTAAAAGACTTGAGTAGTTCCTGTAGGTAAAGAAAATTCTCAAAGTATGTTTTACTAAATGGTTTAATTGACGTATCTTTGATGCATTTTAACGTGTACTAATTTTCAGCCACAGCCCCTTGAAGCTCTGACAGTTGAACAGATTCAAGATGATGTAGAAATAGACTCCAATGATCACACAGATGCTTTTGTGGTGAGTATCACCAAGGAGAGCTATTGAATTTCTTACGGTTTTTGTCTGAGTCATGTTAAGTTAGATAATGGTTTAAGTCTTCAAAACACCATAGAACTTGAGACTTTTGAGAATATGTTAAACATGAGTTCTAGAGTTTTAGTTTTTGTTTTTTTCTTAAGTGAAGATATTCTTTTGTAAGGCTGCTTTTAACTTCCAAAATTGTTTGGGAACGCAATTATTTAGAGGATTTCAGATATATGAAAATTTTTTTAAAACCATAGGATAATAAAACATGTTAAAAATTATAGTTAATTAAATTAATTTAAAATCTACACTTTCCATAATTAACCTTCAATTTATGGGTACTTTTAAAGAAGGACATACCTTTGAGAATAAATTTTCCTGCTTCCAAATTGCTATTATTAATTAATGGCCAAAATAAAAACCATAATAATAAATGCTTTATCTGTACTTCAGAAACTAACCAGAATACCTGTCTGGAAACAAATATTTTGAAACAGAAGTTTGAAATTAATATGAAAAGTTTAATTATAAAATACTTACACTTCCAGTTATATGCATTTGTTGATACATTAGAGCACTAATTGATTACTTAGAAATTTTTTGTTTGTTTGTTTTGCTAGCATCATCTTCTAAACCAGGAGTAGGGAAGACATTTTATAGTTTCCAAGTCATTTTTTAAAATCTCTTTTCAAGTTAGCAATGCTAATTATAAATTAATTACAAAGCACATTTTGTTGAGTTTAAAGCATAACTCATATAGACATTAGCAGAGATTGTCATAAGTGAATTCTGCTACCAGAACTATAAAGGTAGTGAGAAAACCATTAGACATACAGTAAGAGAATGAAATGATTCAGTTACAAAATCATGCTGTAAACTAATTACTTGTTCCTTAACCTGATAATATACATTGTGTGCAATATTATATGTGAGATTTTTTTTTTTTTTCTCATAGGCTTATTTTGCTGATGGCAACAAGGTAAGGACATTTCACCTATAATATATAAAAAAAATTTCTATATTTCATCATTTAGTATTCACAAACTTATGTGGAAACTATTTTTGTTTTTTTCCTCTTCCTTGCCCCTCTTCTCTGTTCCCATCTCATCTTCTTATCTCCCAAAAAGCAACAAGATCGTGAACCTGTATTTTCAGAAGAACTGGGGCTTGCAATAGAGAAATTGAAGGATGGATTCACCCTACAGGGACTTTGGGAAGTAATGAGTTGATCTTGAGTTGAACTGGATTTCTATTTAAAGATATCTCAAGATTAAAGATACTAGTTGCCTTGTTTAAGGCATGGAATAGATTTTACATTTACAGAATAAGCTTTAAGAATGAGTTTCTTAATGATTAAGGGAAAATTCATTAAGATTGTACTGCCAGTTTTCTATAAAATTATATTTAAAATTGTAATTGAAATGTATGTAGTTCGTCAATATGCTTATTTTGTATGTAATACTTGTAAACTGTTAGTTTACAGATACTAAATTACTCTCTTTTTCGTTTTAATAAAGAACTTATGCAGCACCATTTAATGTTTTAAGGTATTATTTAAAAGAATAAAATTATTCCTATGGAATAATCAAAATACTACTTTTGTATTATAAAAATTTTGTTTAAATATATGATGTACGTGTGATAAGCAACTAATAAAAGCAACAATAAAAGTGACCCTTAAGCCTGTCATCTTTAGGGGGCCCATTTTTGTAAAAACTAAAAATTAAAGCTCCTGAAGTCTGTCAGCCCCTATGTAAAGTTGTGAGCACTGTTTTGTAAATTAAATACCGTTTTGGTGATATTCATTTATTTTGTAGGGAAATCATTTTATTTATTTACTGAATTTCTCCTTGTTTGCATTCTGATTTCTTAGTTAAGTTGGTGACCTCTTTGGCATCATTCAGTGTTTTGGGCCATTACTTAAAGTGTATAAAGCAGCACTGTAAGGAACTTTTGTCAAATCATTGAATTTAGCCAAATCAACCTACCTTCTATAGAGGGAGAGGAGTGGGCGTGTAAAACATCTAAAATAAGATGCAACTTTAAGCACAACTATGGTTATATAGTACACAGACTACCCTGGGCTTATTAAAAATCAGTGTATAAAAGCTATACATTGGTACCTTCATTTATACAGAGAATGATTTCTGAATTTTTAAGGGAGGGAGGTATAATAAACAACCTATTTGAAAAAAAAATGGTGGTTTGAAAATTCAAGTCAGAAATAGTCCAGGAATATTACTTAAATACAGTATTTCAAGCAAAAGAAACTTTATCTAATTACTGACTACCAAGGAATAATCTAAATGTCATGTCATACTGTCTGCATCTGCCTCATTAACCTTTTCAAATGTTAGGTGTTATGTGTAGAGAGAAATGAGTCATTTATTGTTTAAACACGGGAGCAGCTGTTAGTTTTTTCTAGTGTGTTAAAACCTTTAGTGGCATCTATAAATGGAAAAGGAATCAAGGAGCTCTTCTTTCAGCTGTTGTTTTAGCAGCTGACAGTACATTGACTTCACCGTGATGTGAAATAAAAGAAAAAACTGTTACTCATGGATAGAGACCTTAAAATTAAAAAATACATAATCCCCTGATCTGGGAGCATTCACTCATTTGACAAATACTTATAGAGCACCCACTTGGTGCTGGGGCTATAACATTGAACAAAACAGACCAAAAAAAAAAAAATCTTTATCTTCATGAAGGTTAGGTGCTTGTGGACAGATTTAAGAATACCAACCTTTGAAATTATTCCTACAGTCCCACTGAGATCAGGAAATATGACAATATGATTATGTAAGAAATGTTTCATGAAGAATGACACACTGCTATCTATATATAAAGGAGCCCTAGTTGGTGCAGTGGTTAAGTGCTTGGCTGCTAATCAAACGGTCGGCAGTTTGAACCCACCAAGTGCTCTGTGGGAGAAAGATGTAGGAGTCTGCTTCCATAAAGACTTTAAGCTTTGAAAACCTATGAGCAGTGTACTCTGTCCTATAGGACTGCTGTAAGTCAGAATTGACATCAACAAGGGTTATCTGTATATAAATGAAAGGTATGTTTTCTTTCAATTCATAACTTCTGCATTCCATAATTAATACAGTGTTCTATTATAATCAACAGCTTACATTATGATTCCAATGAAATGCTTTTTTCTCATAAGGCTTGTTTTCCAAATTGCACAATGATACAGCACTTTGTTCTGATTATGCCATGCTCTGTTGATAACATTGTTCTCATAGGGTTACATTGGCTTTATTTTTTAAAAATGATTTATGAAAGATAATTTTCAACACTTATAACTACGTAATATCTTTAGTAATCATATTTGTAGGTGTGTGGGTTTTTCTTTCCTTAGTCTTGACTTTCAGTTTGTTTTTTTTTCTGGCTGGTCTTGATGACTCCTTTTCATCTTTTCCTTTTTTTTTTTTAATTGCCACCTCACAATCTTTGTAGAGCCAGCAGAGTAGGAATTAATTGAATAATTTTATAATTTAATTGAATACAATTGTAGTTTTTCCCCCTAAGAAAGAAGATAATTTGGGATGTCTTAGATTAGTAGTTTCTGTGCATTTACTATTTTCAGTTATGATGGAGGTATTTATTAAAGGTTATTGGAAAACTGTAGTTATAGTTTATAAGGCAAAATCTTTTAAGTGCACTGCTTATAAAAGAAAAATGTATATTCCACTGTTTTAAGTAGAAAATAAAAATATATAAAATTTCTTGGATAGGGGATCTTGCTTATGAGTATGTAGATGAGCTCACGTCATATTCTTGACCTTTGCATCATTAATTCATGGAGCCAAGTAGCTTGACAGACCAGTTTTAGAGAAGTGACTCATTTTTATGATTCAGTTTTTGGTTAATGCGAGAAATATTTTCTTGGGTATCTTTATTAGCATATCTTCTCATGCTTTATGTATTTTAGAGCTTTCCACTTCATTTAAATGCCTTGTTTCTTAGCTGTTCGTAGTGATTAAAAGTTCCAGTTGTCCTCTCAATTCATAACAGCTGCAAGAACAACTCCTCTTTCCAAACTAGCTCTCTTAAATTCCCGTTGTTAGAGTTAGTATCTATATTTAGCCCATGGGATTAAATTGCAAAGACTTGAAGCCGGGAAAAGCACACTGATCTGCCTTTTGACAGCTAGACCTGTGTGCTGCAAGGAGCTCAGGCCTTCAGTGTCCCCTTCCTTACCCAGGTTACTCACAAAATGGACTCCCAGCGGGAACTCGCAGAAGAACTGCGGCTTTACCAATCTACCCTTCTTCAGGATGGTCTAAGAGATCTCCTGGATGAGAAAAAATTCATCGATTGCACCCTAAAAGCAGGTGACAAAAGTCTTCCTTGCCACAGATTGATTTTGTCAGCTTGTAGTCCTTACTTCCGTGAGTATTTTTTATCTGAAATTGAAGAGGAGAAAAAAAAAGAGGTAATACTAGATAATGTGGATCCTGCTATACTTGATTTGATCATCAGATACCTGTACTCCGCCAGTATTGATCTCAACGACGGAAATGTGCAAGATATTTTTGCATTGGCCAGCCGTTTTCAGATCCCCTCAGTGTTCACTGTCTGCGTTTCTTATCTCCAGAAAAGACTTGCTCTTGGTAACTGTTTAGCCATCCTAAGATTAGGACTTCTTCTTGACTGCCCAAGACTAGCCATTTCTGCCCGTGAATTTGTGTCTGATCACTTCTTACAGATTTGTAAGGAAGAGGACTTTATGCAACTTTCTCCACAGGAACTGATCTCAGTAATTTCAAATGACAGCCTAAATATAGAAAAGGAAGAAGCAGTATATGAGGCCGTGATGAAGTGGGTGCGAACAGACAAAGAAAACAAGGTTAAACACCTCAGTGAAGTATTTGATTGCATCCGTTTTCGCCTTATGACAGAAAAATATTTTAAAGATCATGTTGAGAAAGATGATTTAATTAAAAGCAACCCTGAAATCCAGAAAAAAATCAAAGTTCTAAAAGATGCCTTTGCAGGCAAACTTCCAGAACCTAGCAAAAATGCAGAGAAAAGTGGGACTGGTGAAATGAATGGTGATGTTGGTGATGAAGATTTACTTCCTGGTTACCTGAATGACATTCCCAGGCATGGAATGTTTGTCAAAGACCTCATCCTTTTGGTTAATGACACAGCTGCAGTAGCTTATGATCCTACAGAAAATGAATGCTACCTTACGGCACTGGCTGAGCAGATTCCCAGAAATCATTCCAGCATTGTTACCCAACAAAATCAGATATATGTGGTAGGAGGGCTATATGTGGATGAAGAAAATAAGGATCAACCTCTACAGTCTTACTTCTTCCAGGTAAAAAAGATTATTTTTATGTAATTAGAGGCATAGAGGGAAGACCATAATTCTAGGCCCCTGTACTTGCACTGCTTAAAGGATTGGCAGAAATATTTAAATCAGTTAATTTGGGTGCCTGATAATGTTTTAATAAAATGTTTGGGGATGTTTACAAATGATGACTTAAGATTTTTTCAATATTATTTTACCAAAATACCATATTTAGTAGTTGATGATGACCATGATCCTTCAAAGCCCAGTATTTTAGTAACAACTAAATTTAATCTTACACACTTTTACCTGAAAAAGAGATTAATGTGTAACCTAAAACAAAGTACACATTGCAAAGACGTAATAGGTGGTCATATTTTAAAACTTTTTCTAAGTTTCTTTGAAGTGATTTGAAGTTTATGAAAGTAGCATTTCATATCTTATTTATGGGTATTGCCTAAAATGTAAGTTTGTTGAAAATAACAAGAACTCATGTACATAGTCTACATACTTTGGATTACTTTCCACGAAAAATTATCTTCACAAATGTTACTAGTTTGAGTATATTTAGAAGTTTTATTTACTATATGACATTTGGATCAGAGTTGTTCTTAGATATTATTATAATTTAGCACTCTGTTTGTGAAGCTTCAGAAGTTCCCCAAAAAAACAAGTATTCCTAAACTAGACTCTTGATTGTTTGAAGGGAATTTCTTTTATATTATCAATGCATTATACTTTATCAGTTTATAAAACAGTGACTTAACCTTTATTTCATTTTTTAACTACTTTTTAAGTGATTTAGGTGAAAGTTTACAGAGCAAATTCATTTCCATACAGCAGTTCACACACATTTTGTTACATGACATTGTAATCTCCACAATGTAACAGCTTTCTTCCTACTTTATCTTTAATAATGCCAATACTATTCCTTTGTGGGAGCCCTTCTGGCTAGTGCCTGAGGCATTTGACT